GATGGACACTTAGGTTAATTGCAAATCTTGGCTATTGTGAGTAGTGCTGCAAAACGTGGGAGTGAAGATATCTTCTTGATATACTGATTTTCTTTCTTTTGGATATATACCTAGCAGTAGGATTGTTGGGTCATGTGGTAGTTCTCTTTTTTAGTTTTTTGTGGAATCTTAATACTGTTCTCCATAGTGGTTGTGTTAATTTACATTCCTACTAACAGTGTCCGAGGGTTCCCCTTTCTCCATATCCTCACCAGCGTTTGTTATTGCCTGTCTTTTGGATAAAAGCCGTTTTAACTGGGGTGAGATGATATCTCATTAGAGTTGATTTGCATTTCTCTGATGACTAATGATGTTGAGCATTTTTTCATATACCTGTTGGACCAAATTGGGGTGGGAACCTGCAGCCTTGGGGCCACATGCATCCTTGAGTGTGGCCTTTTGACCGAATCTAAACTTCACGTAGCAAAAGGGTCTTATAGGCATGCTTCATTCTTTTTAATTCTTTTTTCTTTTTTCTATTCTGACTGTGTATTTTCATATAGACCGTCTTCAAGCTCACTAAGTCTTTCTTCTCTTTGATCAGTTCTGCTGTTGAGAGACTCTCATGCATTTTTCAGTTTGTCAATTGAATTTTTCAGCTCCAGAATTTCTGCTTGATTTTTTTAATTTCAATCTTTTTGTTAAATTTATCTGATAGGATCCAAAATTCCTTCTCTGCATTGTCATTGAAGTTTGCTGAGCTTAAGAACAGCATTTTGAATTATCTGTCGGAAAGATCACATATCTCCATTACTCTAGGACTGGTCACAGATACCTTATTTAGTTCATTTGGTGAGGTCATGTTTTCCTGGATGTTCTTGATGCTTGTGGATGTTAGTCAATTTCTGGGCTTTGAAGAGTTAGGTACTTATTCTAATCTTAGCAGTCTGGATTTGTATGTACCTGTCCTTCTTGAGCAGGCTTTCCAGGGAATTCCCTCAAAGGGAATTGAGTGTTGTGATCTAAGTCTTTGGTCACTGCAGTGGTATCAGTACTGGGGGTACCCTGAGACTCCTGGTGGTACTGCTTTGGTGTGCTTGGGTAAGATGCAGGAGAAATCCCTAGATTACCAGCCAAAGTCTCTCAATCTTTTCCCCCACTTTCCCCAAAACAGCAGCTTCACTCTCTTGTGCTGGGCTGCCTGGAGTTGGGGCAGGGATGATGCGAGCATTCCTCTGTGGCCATGACAGCTGGGACTGCACAGGGTCACGCATGAAGCCAGCACAGACTTGACCAAAGCCCATGGTGACTGTTGCTTGGCCACCACTGATGTTTTTTCAAGGCCCAAGGGCTCTTTAATCAGTAGGTGGTGAATCCTGCCAGGACTGTGTTCTTCCCTTCAGGGTAGTGTATTTCCTTCTGGCCTAGGGTGGGCTTAGAAATACCGTCTAGAAGCTAAGGCCTGCAATCAGGGGCTTCAGGAATCTGCTGGGTACTTTATTTTACTGTGGCTGAGCTGGTACCCACGTTGCAAGACAAAGTCTTCTGTACTCTTCCCTATCCCCAGTGAAAGGAGTCTCCCTCTGAGCTGCACTGCCTGGAGTTGAAGGAGGGTTAAGGCAGACACTCCTTTGGCTGCCACAGCTGTTGTCTCACTGGGTCATGTGTGCCCCAAGTCTACTGACTCTGAGCCCAGTGCAGCATCAGGACTCACCCAAAGTGCAGTCTTTGTGGTCTGACTGCCTTGCAAACTTATTCGAGGCTCCAGGAAGCTTTTGTTAGCTAGTGTTGAAATTAGCTGAACTCAGTTTCCTACTGCTGGGGCAAAGGATTCCTCTCTGGCTGGGGCTGTTCTAAATGCTTCCTCTCTGGGCACTGGTGGAATTCTGCCCTGTGCTGTGTCCCCTGTGCCAGGGCAGCCCTGAGTTCCAATGCAAAGTTCCACAATCACTTCATTGCTCTTTCATCTTGCAATCCCTATAGATGGGCCAAATGACTTCTAGTACTGCATATATTCAAACAAAAGTTAATTACAACAATAGCAATTTAGGTTCTATTCAAGTTCATTATAATGAGACTTCTCTTTGAAAAATTTATGAAAATTAGTAAATATCAGTCCATGCTTTAAAAAGTAGAATATTAAATATTGAACATAGGTAATAACATTAACATTATTGTTAATAATTGTTGTTCAATAAATATTATTTATTGAACTCTTGTTATGTGCCAGGTGCTAGACTTAGGTTTTTACATATGTTGTCTCATTTAATCCTCACCAAAAAACCCTGGGCGATAGTTTTTCAATATTTTAACAGAGAAACTGAGGCTCACAGGATATAAGTAACCTGCACAGAGCTCTAAAACTCCAAAGTTGAGTGATTGGGTTTGAAGGATTTTGGTTAGAAACTATTTAGAGCTTCATTTAATAAAAGTTTTATTTATTTTTTTGTGAGTAAAGTACTAGAAAATGTTCAAAATCTTTGGGGCTGTGATAGTATGTCATTAGTAGGTTACTTTAAATTATAAGTTGATTGACGTAGTGGCCTTACTTTTCTTCCATGTTTGAGCCATAGGAACAGTTGCAGCTTAGAGC